TACTACACCTTCCTATTTAATTTCGCTTATTATTTGAAGTGTGTTTAACATATATAGTAGGTTTTGTTTCTTTCTTTATTTTGTTGACGTTCTGTAATATATTTTCAAACACTTATTTCTAATCAATTAGCGAGTTAATGAGAATGAACTATAATGGAATGTCAATATTTAATTGTACACTCTTATGATGCAGATATCCACACCGGAATATAAATTAAAGATATACAATATTTTGATTTTACTTGATAGTTTAAGATTTTGGATGTCATTGTCTAAATATTTAAAGTTGAATCTTCCATTATAACTTGAGCTTGGAGATCAAGTGATTCTCCATCTAGTTGCACTTTTACGGACTCATGGAATTGCTAAAATTCTGATAACCACCAAAAACTGAAATGTGTAAGAGTGTGAGTGAAACTATGTGAAGAATGGTAGAACCTTCCTTTTGTTAACATACGAATATGAGAAGAAAAAATGTGACATTAATTCAGATATCATCTGAACATGAAATAAGAATATGTGAATTATTCTTATTCCTAATTATGCTGAGATGTTATTTTCTTTTCTTTATTATCAAGATTATATCATTATTTGTAATATTGTATTAACATACATAACCAGTACAATTTTGTATAAACAGGTGCTGTAAACATGAAGAAATTCATTCAACATACAAAACACTTTCTATTGGCATACTCTAACATCTCAATTGTCTCTCTTTTACCTCTCTGTTCTTCACCTTTATCAATCTCGTCAAGGTGTCTTCACGTTTTACCAGGCATAATGCTTTAACTCTCTTAAATATGAAATTCACAAAAGTCACAAACAGGAAAGGGCCTGCCCAAAAATCACTCATTAAATTGTTGTAGAGTTCATCCGTTACTTTGTATGCTTTTTCATATTTATTTTGATTTTGCAGCACCCAAAATGAAGCACTCAAGAACACAATTACTATCAGCCAAAACAGATGCCTCCGTAACTATTACTAAACAGGTGAAATTTTAGAGGTTAATTAACGCTGATAAATTCACTATTAACTTATAGTCAGGCTTATGCTGTTAACTATCTAATGTTATTTTCACTGATATTCAATGCCGTGAATTTCACAGCCATCTAACGGTCATTAGTGTGTGTTAATTAACGATCATCTCACTTGATGTTTACTAACAGACATCGGTTAACGGGTTAATTAACATATGTTAGTTTAGTCGTTATTTAACATTCATTTATTTGACCGTCACTTAACAGCTATTAACCTGACCGTTACAACAAAGACGTTCCCTTTAACAAAAGACATAACCGTTGCTGTTGTGAAGATAAAAAATTTCTTCCCTGCCAAAATCCTGTCCGCTAATCTCGAAATCTGTAAAATCAATGGGAGCGGTTCATTGATCAAGGCGGCACATCCGCCTTACGATCCTTGTTACATGCCTTCTCTTCATCATAACCGTCAGGCTCCAGCAGTGGCGGGCGACCTTCCCATCACAATCATTAAGGATTACTCTTTGAGAAGTTCGTCACATGTTTTGGATACAAAAGCCCGATGTCGTTTAGCATTTGTATCGGCTACAAATAAACTTCGTGGCCCTTGTTTTTCATTAACAACTGCAGAGATAGGAGATTTCAATATACTTTGCTTACTGTATATTATTGAAAACAGTCAATAATATACAGTAAGTTCCTGGAAGATTTCAGCTTTGATCCTTGCGGGACATGAATTCACGAGACTGGACTCGTTTTTCCTACGTCATTCTTGGGTATAATCCTTCTGTTTATTAGCAGAGTTTTCGGTTCCTGTAAGAAATTTTGTGATGCCAATTTAATCAGGAAAAATTTATTTGGTTTGCCTTAAGATGATTAAAATGTTCACATCAAAGGATAAATATTTGAAATAAGAGACAGGTTTCAAAATTTCAAGATGTGTGAGTGCCACCACCAGTAACAAAAACTGCAAATTTCTCACAATCTATCATTAAAAGCCGTTTTAGAGATGGAGGTAGCTGACCTTTCACAATGAATGTCAGCCTTTCATGGCCTCTGGTAAGGATGTTATCGGAGGGCAATTGATAATAAATTTATTTATGTTTTAACTGTTGAACATGAATCCTAAATCCTCAAAATTCAATCCCCCCTGGACAACTAATATTCTTTCAAAATGTCTAAGAACCATGCTTATGCCAGTAGACCGAGCAAAGGTTACCCAATTGCCCAGCAGAATTAGAGATTCAACGTTTCCTTTCAGCCCTAAGAAGATTTGCCCTCAGCAACATGCCCTTACATCCTGATCAAATTCATTGCCAGTCTGCAAAACCCGTTGAAAAGTTGCATTTCTTTGATCCGCATGTCTTGCATACAGAATCTTGTTGTGTGAGTCATTGCGAACCTGCAGAGATGTGATAGGGTTGATCAAGAAAAAACAATGCCAAACATTTAAACCCAAATTCTTCCAGAAGAACTTGATTCTAAGCCAGGATTCACAAACATTTAAGAACTAATTTCTTTCACAGTAAGATTCATTGATATAGGAAAAAAGTTTCGTATATATATTTTCACCATATTAGAAATTCTAAAAAGAATTGCAAGAGTTGTTTGTCTCACTATAAGCCCCTGAAAGATAGCAAAATCACAACAGCAAGACTACTGTACTGTTACCATATTTTTTCTGTATTCTAATTTTATGGCTGAATTTTTACAAATATATTTTTTATCATTTGCTATATCATAAGCGTACAATTTTCATACCCTTTTTTTTATTGTACCATATTTACTAACTAAGCCATGGCTTTGGGCTGGGTTGCTTTCAGCCATCATTTTTATTCACTCACTTAGATTTTGTTGGCGGGTGGTGAATAAGCTGCTCATGGGTGTGATTTATATAGTTAGATGTTGCTGTTGTAAGAACAAACAACACCATGATCAGCTTATGGTGAGAGTTTAAGAAGACTAGATTCTACTTTTATGTATACATACAACTTTTGTTATATCCCATAACGACGTTAATGAATAAGAGCTTGAGTGTTTATAAACACATTAAGTAGATGTGTTTTAGATTACAATAAAGATTAACTTACAATTTAATCTTACAAACTCTCTCTTATAATTCTAACGTGGTAGCTTGCAATTGGTCAGTTCGCAATTAGTCAGACAGAAAAATTCATCAAAAACAAATTATGAGTTGTCGTGTTGAGGTTGTGAGAGAAAGTTTGTGAGATTGAGTTATAAGTGTAATATTACTCTCTAGATAATGGTATCGACATAAAGTCAAAAACCTTATTATTAGCTATAAAGGTGGCAGTGGGCTGTTTCGTGCCAAAATTTTATGGCCCATCATGCCATGCCACAGTCCACAAAAATGTGGGATTTGTCATGCCATGCCAGACAACAAAAACACAAGGCCCATGGCATGGTGGGGTATACCATGTCGTGTCATGCCTTTGTAGGCTGACCCACATGCCTTCGTGGGTGGGCATAGGCTATATTAATTTTTTTATTTTTTTTATTTCATGGGTTGTGCCTTGCCAACCCATGTGCCCAATGGTAGACCCACGACAAGGCCCACATGGCCCACGTGCCATGGTACGACACAAAATTTTCACGCCGTGCCATAGTGGGTTGTATCGAAAATTTTTGTCGACACGGTCCACTACCACCTCTAACTAGTTGTTCTCTTTTTATTCACTTATATTTATATTTTGAAATTCGAAATAACGGCCGTTATATTTGCCGTAACAAACTGTAGTTTGATACTGTTAACTAACAGTCAAGCATGAGGGGATGTGCAGCCACCTTGAGCACATTGATTCAAAATGATTCCTTCATTCTCCATAAAATTTCACTCACTGCCTTCGCTGAAACTCCCTTACACATCTCAGCTTTGCTTGGTCATGTTGAGTTCAGTAAGGCTCTTGTGAACCAAAGGCCTCAACTTGTCACGGAGTTGGACACTTTCAAACGCTCACCTCTTCACTTAGCTTCTGCTGAGGGCCACACTGAAGTTGTCAAAGAGTTGTTGCAAGCAAATAAGAATATGTGCTTGCTTGCTGATCAAGAGGGCAGAATTCCTCTCCACTTGGCTGCAATGAGAGGGAGAGTTGAGGTGATACAAGAGCTGATAAGTGCAATACCTAAGTCGGTCTTTGAGAAACTCCATGGAGAAACAGTTTTACACTTGTGTGTTAGGTATAATCATCTGGATGCTCTGAAACAATTGGCGGCATCAGGTGATGATAAGGAGTTTCTCAACTCCAAAAACCTTGAAGGCAACACTGTCTTGCAAGTCTCTGCCATGTTGAAGCAATTGGAGGTACCAGCCCTGTCTTTTGCTTTGCTTCAATTTAGCATACTACTTTGTCAATTATCATTTTGCTCATTCTAATTTTATATTATTTTGTTCTGGGTCTGATATGCACAGATTTTCTTTTAATATAGAGTAGTTTCCACATATATATATATCTCAGTTACATTCTCTAATCATGATTATATGCATATGCTTTGTGCAGACTACAAGCTACTTGCTTTCAATGCCAAAAATAAGAGTAGATGTCAACTCCTTGATCAAAAATGACTTTGAAGCCTTTGATGGTAGCTCCACAAATGGCACACCTCTAAACAATATACAGAAAATCTTATTTACCGAGACAATGACAAAAGTTCAAAGCACACAATCAGTCACCAAAGTTCAAAGCACACAATCACCGAAAAAATCAAAAGCTTCTCTCAGGAAAGAAGCACAAGCTCTTGCAGCACCATCACTAACATTCAAATACTGGAAAAAGTTACTGAAGTACAAGAGTGAGTACTTTGAAAAAACAAGAGGCAACTTGATGGTGGTGGCCACTTTGATTGCAGGCATGAGTTTCCAAGTGGCGACAAATCCACCAGGTGGTTACTGGCAAAATGACACAACCAATGAAAAAGATCAAAGCTGCCCAAAGGGAAAAACATGCACAGCTGGAACTTCAGTACATGCATAAGCTCATTACGATGAGTACCACATGTTAATGGTTCTCAGCACTCTTTCATTCTCAACTTCACTAGGCATTATATTGTTGCTTATAAGTGGAGTACCTCTCAGGAATAGAGTTTCAGTGTGGATTTTGCTGGTAGGAATGTGGGCTACAGTGCTGTTTGTAGCAGCTGCATATTATTTCTCAATCAGCTTGGTGGTACCACATGGTCATGATAAAATATTTGATCTTATTACTTATTGGTACCCAGAGCTTTGGGGTGTTTTGCTTGCAGCCATAATTTTGATTCACTTACTTAGATTCCATCGGTGGCTGGCGAAGGAACTGTTCATGGGTGTGATATATGTTCTTAAATGTTGCTGTTGTAGGAACAAACAACAGCATCATCAGCTTGCGGAGAGTGTTTAAGAAGTAGACTTCATTAATTGCAGACTCATAATAGATAATATCTATTCACTTGGATATAGTCAGTTAAAGTTTTATTTGCAGACTCATAACAGATAATATCTATTCAATTGGATGTAGACAATTAAAGCCTTATTGCAATTGAAGTAGAAAAGATTGTCAATCATCCTCTGTTTTCTCTTTTGTTGACTTGTATTTATATTTCATTGATTACTGTTATGAACAAATTTATAGTTTTTTCTTCTTTTTGTCCTCAGTATTAATATATTCATCACCAGCTAAGAGATAATATGTAAAGTTTGATTTTAGAGTAAACTTCAGACTTATACTTCCTTCTTTTACAACCAACAACTGAAAAATCTAACTAAATAAATAATAAAGATAGATTGACAAACCCTTCTCACTAACTTTCTTTCGACGTGGCATGTAACTTGCATTTGGTCAGACAAGACCCATTTTCGGGCAGGTGAGACCCGTTGTGAGCTGAGCAATTGCGAACTGTTACGTCGCGTTTGTGAAAGAAAGAAAGTAAAAAAGGTTTGTCAGCGTAGTAACCAGCAAAATCTAAGCATATGAATCAGGAGCACAGCTTTCTACAGAGAAGAGCCTTTGTTGAAATTGAGATATCCAAAGAAAACTGAGATGTGGAAAGGCGTTTCATTGAAGGGGACGAGTGAAACTCTGTGAAGACTGAAGAATGAGAGGATCTTGTTTTATGAATCTGTTCAAGGTGTCTTCACCCCTCACGAGGCCTGCTTCAAAGAGCTTAATTATCAACTCTTTAATCCATCTCTTTTACTCTCCTTTTCTTTTCCCCATCTCTAACTCTTTAACAGTTTGAAACTGGCAAAAGTTACATCCAGGAAAGGGCCTGCCTTTTAACTCACTCATTAAATACTTGCAGAGCTTTGTCCAAATTGATTTTAATTTTGCAGCACCCGGATGGAGCACTGAAGACGACAATTACTAGTCTGTTGACAATTACGTTATCAGAATGCTCTAGTTTTCAATTTGAGTTGAACATATTCAACATGACATCACAACTGGCAGGCATAGTATAGCAGCAGCAAGATAGAAAGTAACAACTAAAAATAAAACGAAGAATGGCAACTTTTAAAAATAATTCAATAAAGCAACAGTCAGATGTCTGTAACTGTTGAACGTGAATCTTAAATCGTGAAAATTCAATCCCCCTGGANCCGAGTGTGCAATGTGATAATTCTCCTTGAATTCAAGCAAATTAAGCAAGAGATAGAAAGGCTTGTACCTCATCATGTTGCTGCAATATAGCAGATACTTGCAAGATAGTGTTGCCTTCAAGGTTTTGGGAGTTGAGAAACTCCTCATCTTCAACTGATGCCACCAATACTTTCAGCGAATCCAAATGATTTTACCTAAAACACAAATGTAAAAGGCATATAGTTGGTTATTTCCATAAGCAAACGCATATTCAAGGTTAAGCCACGCGATGACATTTTACTTGTGTGTAATATGTCATGTTTTTAAATTTTCCGCTGCAAGACTTATGTTTTTCTATCATGTAGTTTAATTCGTGTTTTCTTTGGATTGTAAGGAATTTGAAAATGTCTTATACCATATGTTTTCCCTTGGTTTGCAAGAAAGTACTGTGTATGTTTATGATGAATGCATGAGGAAATGTTGATGAAATTGATTTGGAAACAGGTTTAGCATATTTGATGGTTTTTCCACATGGCACTAGTGATGGCAATCAGCTGGGCCGAGACCGGATACCCCTTGGCCCAGGCCCAAGCTCGATCTCATGACAAAGGCCCAAGCCCGGCCCGGGCCCTTCACAAGTATGATAGATAAAGCCCAAGGTCGGCTCGACGGGCTTTTTGTAACCTTAGGCCTAGCCCAAGCCTGCTCATTTTTATAATGTGAATTTTTAAATATTAATAAATTTCATTTTTTTTTTATATTTTTAATTCTAGAAACAATTTTTAAATATTAATTTATTTTTTAATACTTACCAAATATATAAATAATTTTTCACAAAGTGCATCCATCCATTCATGTAGGGTTTGCAAAAAATGACTATATATATGTAGGACAATCTTGTAATTAAATATATAATATAAGGGTAATTTAATATAATTAATACTAAAATTGTTGGGTCAGACTGGGCTGGAGGTCGGACCCTAAAGTCAGGCCCAAGCCCAAATCCATGCCCGCAAACATCAGGTAAAGCCCGATTTTTTTTAGGCCGGGCCAGGCTAGATATCCAAAAATATCGAGCCTATTGCCATCTCTATATGGCATCTCTCCGTCATAGTCTCATGAGTATGTCTGAAGCCTATGGGATAGGGAAGGCCGGGACAAGTCTTGTAAGTTGGGTATTTCCACAAGAAAACGCATTCTTTTTATTATTGACTACTCGGTCAACCATGGATAACGGCCGGGATGCAAAGAAGTTCCTGTTCACATGGAAAGGATCCAATGAAGTTCCCGGAAAATTTCAGCATCATTAGAAGTCGACAGATAGCTAGCCTAGAACTTCAAAAGTAATTTGAAAAGTCTAAAAGCTTAAACTTTTAAGTTTATATGCAAGTTCCTGGAAGAATATTTAAGCTTTGATCCAATAATTGGACATGACATGATCACGTTTCTAGCTAGACTTTTGATGATTTTTGGTGTGAACATACGCATGTCTAAAAAGTAAGTGGTCGGTCCAATTGATGTCGTCTCTCAAATTATAATTTCCAAGAAGTTGTTAACCTCTTTGCCCATATTGCTTCCAAATGAAATTGATGAAGGAAATGTATCTAGAAATATATAACCTCAAGCAAATAATAATGATAAAAGGAGTTGACTCACAAGTCCANTTAGTCAAGTTCCTCTCCAAAATAAGGTTGTTTAGTTGGGATTTTGATAATTGGGGATGTGGACTTCAATCGCATTGATAGCGGCTACCTACATTTTCTCAATTCGCATGGTTCAGGTGCACAATGGTGAAATATTTTCTGATTTTGTTCGCGTATGCTCCCATAGTTCAGTTGCGCACCTTCAAGAAATATGGTTGGCTTTGATAAACTCTTGTATCACCTCATTGCAGTCAAATGCAGAGGGATTATTCTACCATTGTTAGAGTCATGAAAATGACTCTATTTTGATGATAGAAAAACCCTCTGTGTAATTAAATTGAAGTTATATTGAGATAATTAAAGAATTTATTCACGAAAACTAGCATCCTAATGTTTCTTATGAATTTAGCATATTTGGAATGAATTTGGAAATGGTGTGAGTTGATATTAGGTTGTGGTTTATGGATTATGGGTGATTTTGTCTTATTTATGCTATTCAGGGGGTAAAATGTCATGTTTTCAAGGGGTCAATTTTGTCACTTTTCAATCATGGAGGGATCCAATGGAAATTTTCCATATTTTGTATAAAAGGAAAGCCAAAGGTCGTATATTGGTGGCTGCCGCCCACCAAAACCCTTCACCTTCTCCGACCAAGCTCCGAAAAGCATCTCTGACAACTCTTCAACTTCCCATTACACTGATCTCCACCATCTATCACCCCCTGCTGTTGCACGACGCTTCATCTCCCCTCATCGGCGACATTTCAGCTTCCGATGGCTTTTCTCCCATTTTTCGGTAGCCTCCCACTTCCCTGGTGGTTGTTCTACCTTCCCCACGCTTAGATCCACCTTCCTCCAAGTTTCATCAACATCAAAATTGCCGGAATCCACCGTCGTTGTCGCTACGACTTTCAGCTTCCATGCCAGTTTTCATGCACTTTTTGGGGACGTTTCACCTTCCAATTAGCCGATCTATCATCCCCATCACCTGATCTATCTTTCGGTACATTTGGATCCCATTTCGGCCACCACTCGCCAAAAAACTAACGTATTCCGACGAGTTGCGACTGTTCATATTCTGGGCTGTCCGTTGGTCGTTTCTGCTCCTTTTTCACATGATTATATTGTCAGTTACTTTCTCTTCACCATGACCAGCCCCATTTTTGACTTTTCAGCCTTCGTCGACACCACCATGAGCGGTTGAGCTCCCAGTTGCTTGTTACGGTGTAGGTGAGATCAGGATCGACACTCATGGATCTTCTTTGTAGTTCTCGACTAGTTGGATGAGCTCGAATGTTGGACATTTGGTTAAGTTTCTTGTATTCAGATTATATTTGTTTTCGTTTCAGTTTGTTTGCGATGCTTTAATATTATTCTGATGCTCGACGTGCTGAATTGATAATGTCCATTAAGAACGTTTGTTGATATACAACTTTTTGCATTATTGAATGTTGATTTGAGATTATTGAATGTTGATTATGGCTTTAAATTGCTTCGGTACTGATTGCAATCAAGTTGTATTAGCGTTCAATATCATTTCTACTAGGAATGCATTTGTTGTGTAATTGGTTGATTGGATGATACAAGTTGATAGGTTGTACTTGTTAGCGTTTACCAACTAGTATTGTTTAAGGGTTTAGCGTTTTTCTGTTAGTCGATGATAGTCTTTAACCAATTGATATGTAACTAAGACGACGGGGAGACAACATAGATTATACCTAGATTGCTGGGAGATGTTTTTATTGATTTGCCTAGCCTTGTAGGTTTAGGAAATCTTAGAGTGTGGAGGAGAATTGTGAGAGTTGGTCTTGAGTCAAACCAAAACCGTAGCGACAATGTTTTTATTATAAAGTCTTAACTAGTTTTAATTTCAAGCTTTTATTATTTGCATTTAGTTTGTTTAGTTTAATCAATCAATTTGCCAATTTTGCTTTCATTAACTCAAATATACATTAGGTTGTTAGTCTTTGCTCCCTATGGATTCGACCCTTCTTATCGCTAACTACGGTACTTAGGTTTAATTTTATTGTCGTGACGACCAGTTCGACAACCATCTTGATCAGAAACCACTAGACAAAACACCATCATGTGCTATAATTTAAGCCTGCGATTAAAGCAGCCTGACTCTTTGGCAAGTTCTGGTTATCCATTCCCAGAAGAGCCTTGCTGGAATCCTCATAAC